GTGGTGGAACAACAGGGCGGCGGAAACAGGAAGCTGCTCTGACACGACGGAGTGCACAGGGTGAGATCGAGGTGATCGACGGAGGTGAGGGTTAAAATGAGGCAGATGTTCTTCTTATAAACACCTTCAGGTCAGCCAGCATGGTCCTTTCTTACCCGACTCCTCTGCTGTAACAACAGTTTTTCCGCGAATCTCCTGTAATGTTTTTGTCCTCCAGGCCACCTAACCCTCCGGCATCTTTCGTTCCGATATCCTCACCATCTCACCCATGTCAATCACCCGCTCATTCCTTACAGATCTTGTCTGCCCCTATCGTGTAATTGGAACGAAAGTTTCCGAAAGCCTGCGGCTTGGACAACAAAGAACAGGCTCCAACGTTAATGTCATAGCAGAGCTCACAACATCTACCTGTCACTGCAATGGGTTCTTCGGGTTTGGTTCCTTGTCTACATGACTATACTTTTGCCTGGTTTTAGTATCAGTACTTTTATTGGACCAGATTCAGAGCAGCTCTAGAATGTCTGGACTACTGTTCAGTACTTCAGTAACAGCGACTCTTTGTCTCCAGTGTAGACTTTCACCTCTTCAGGTTCCCTTACAATAATATCTGGTTAACTATAAACCAAACAGGAAACCAAACCTCAATCCCAGGCTCAATAAACACATTAGTGACTAAAAATTAACCACCAGTTACTCCAGTCCAGTTCTGCTCGACAGATTTATTAGCTTTTTAGCTTATTAGAGATTAGATTAGCGTTTAATGTGCTGACTGTACAACATTTGGTCCAAATTGGTATTAGGTAAAAAGGCAGGTGACTGGACTGGTTACCAGCCAATCACAGAACAGGACAAAACGACAGACGCCGTTGACCTTTTGTTTGGTCTTACAACAATCCCATTATTTATATGTGCCATTATTTATGTAGTGATGGGTCAAACCAGAGCAAACACACATGCTAGGAGCTAACATGCTAGTCCGTTTCTTTACATATATTGATTGTGGCTGGGTCAGTCAGACAGACGGTTCAGCCGTCGATAGAAGTTATTGATATTTTACCACTTCATGTCTAAAAGCAAACTATCACACACATACTGGTGCAGCTGCTCTTTTCAGGACTTTGCACTAAACACAGCTGTATCTGCCGTAACCCTCGGTGTCAGTCGCACCTTCATCCTCACCTTTATGACCAACCTCTGCCTCATTAGGACCAGGTTCTGGTACAAAGATCAAGTCTGGGACCAGCAGCGGTACCAGAAATGTCCTCTGGTGTGTCATGACCACTCACGCTCCTCCAGCCCTGGCTCAAACTCGCCAACATCGACGCTGCGTTACAGGAACTGATTCATATTTGTCTCATCTTCCTGTCGACTATTTATAAGTGTGGTGAGAAGTGGAGTGTAGCCCACATTTCACAGGCTGCAACACGGCTGTTGATGAAAACCCCCCCGCC